AACATTTTCCATCTTTGATGAACACTAACTGCCAGGCTTTCTCACTCTGCTGCATAGAAATGTAAATGGCTGCTTTCCCTGCTATTTTAAAATTGCTTTAGGTGCTTGTGTGATGTTTAACATGGCCTATAGTGTCATGGAAACACTTTAAGGGGGAAAAAAATCAGAAACAGGGGCACCTAGGTGGCTCAGTGGGTTAAACGTCTGCCTCTGGCTCGGGTCATGATCCCAGGGTCCTGGGATCAAGCCCCACATCCAGCTCCTTGCTCGGCAGGAAGTGTGCTTCTCCCTCTCCCTCTCCCTCTGCTCCTCCTCCTAGCTCGTGTGTGCTCTCTCTCAAAATAAAATCTTAAAAAAAATCAGAAACAAATAAAATAGTTTTTTTTTTTCAGTAAATATCCTCAGGAAAGGGAGAGAATGAAAATCAAAAGCTTTTTACATGAGTCAGCAAGTGGCTGGGTGGAGACCATCACACTATGCAAACATGAGTTTTCTGGAAGGCGAAGGGGTTTCCAGAAGTAACCAATCCTTCCTCAACTGGTCAAGTCAGACACCTGGTCCCACTTCCTTACCCTCAACACAAAAAATGACTTTGCATCTTTAGTTTTATTTTTTTAAAGACAGCAAAGGATGTCATCTGCATAAAAATCTCCTGCCCAGCATGACTCAACAGTGGGTCATGTACCAACTCTGTTGTTGTCATTATATAGGAATTACACCACACATTTTATATGCCAAGTGCCCTCCAATCATTTTTATTAGTCTACACAACACCAACCTCACATCCTTAAGGATTTTGTTTCCGTTTTGAAGGAGACACAAAGAGGTCAAGTGATTTGCCTAAGGTTATAAGGCATGTTTCTTTTCTTTCGTTTTCTTTTTTTCTTTCTTTTTTTTTTTAATAAAGCAAGTTTCTTAAGATCATAGGTAAAGGCGCCTAGGTAGTTCAGTCAGTTAGGAGTCTGCCTTCAGCTCAGGTCATGATCCCAGGGTCTGGGATGGAGCCCCGCACCGGGCTCCCTGCTCAGCAGGGAGTCTGCTTCTCCCTCTCCCTCTGATCCTCCTTGCTCCTCATGCTCTCTCTCTTTCTCAAATAAATAAATATATTTTTTTTAAATCACAGGTAAAAGGAAGGAGTTGTGAGATCTGGGAGTGGCTGCTACATAGTTGGGACCCTAATTCCTCTCTAGCCCAAAAAGAGAGGCACGCTGGGTACTCTGCACATAGATTTTATTTTTAATTCTCATCTTCTGCCTGCATGGTGTGAACCAGGTGTGAAGGTAAGATATGCTTCTTTTTGCCACGTCCCAAAAGGAAAACTTTCAATAATTTTCTCCATCTCTGTTTAAAGAATGACCAAGAGGGAAGCTGGACCTACTGCCTCTTGAAACCAAGATGGAAAACTAAACCTCGATCATGGCACAACTCTGCACCAGAACTCTCTAGTGCCTGTTCCTACATGATTATTTTCTTCTACACCTGAGCAATTATGACCAAGACTAAGGGTGACTGTGGTATTTATAACCAGAGACGATACAGATGAATTGCCCCCCTACAAGATGCCCACTTAACTATGTCCAGTGGGATTCTCCCAGTCACAAGTGTGCATGCACAACACACAAGCACATTCAAGGTCTAGTAGAGCCCACTGGGTAACAAAGGCTGTGTATTTTACAAGCACCTCCTTTTAAAATGTTCTGGAGTGGGTGTTCAGGTGCAGCTACAGGAGCAGGTAAGATATGCACCAAGAGGAAAAGGGGACCTTTCCTGAACTGAACTGCCTTTCCTCGACTTCAGAGTATCTGAAAGTCTTGGTTTTTTGGCAAGCCTGTCTCACAAGCTGCTTATGGCAGGCACAGCCAAACAGGTGTGCTCAGGTTTCAGGCCAAGGAGTGGGTGCCTCCTTCCCTGAGAAGCCACTTCAGAGAGGGAAAACACACTGGCAGCAACGTGGTGCACTGGATCTAAGTAATGGGACCACCCCCTCCCCTGCCTGCATCCTGCTCTGCGCCAGTACACGTTTTACGGGGAGTAGAAAAGACTTGGCGGGGGGGAGGGGGGGTGAGGGTGGCAGGGGAGGGAGGATTCTGTACAGATGGGGGAGGGAAAAAAACTACAGAGCCAACTTTTCCATCCTGCTCTGAGCCCACACTACAGACATACATTTTTCCACACTGGAGAATAATAATCCCTTTATCCAGCCAGTCTGAAACCATCAGTCCCTGATAATTGAATTCAGACCTTGGATGGAAAGTTGGGAAGGTGTGGGTAGTTGGAAAATGGGGTGGGAGATGGGAGGAGGCAGAGGTGGAGCCCATAAAAAAGGAGGGTGGCAGTAGGTGGAATGGCTCAATGAAGCTAAAGAGGCTAAAGACTTCAGAAACCAAAGGCAGATGTTCTGCCCTAATATTGCCAGGTCACACAATGGGACAGCTTCCCTAGTGGAGCCTGGGAAGAAGGCAGTCTTGGTAGTGTATCAGGCACTAAGCCAGGTTCTGGTCCTGGCCCCAGGACCCTAGGCAAGTATATGACCTCTAAAATCCTAGCTCTGACAGTCATTCCATTCATGCACATCCTTATTGAGAACCATTTGTTCTGGGCTAGGGGTAGGGTGGCAAACCTCTTGTATAAAGGGCCAAATGAATTATTTTAGGCTTTGGGGGCAACACAGTCTATGTCACAACTACCCAACACTGCCACTCTAACACAAACACAACCACAGACAAAATATATATGAATGAACATTGCTATGTTCCAATAAAACTTTATTTATGGACACTGTAATGTGAACTTACAATTTTTCTGTATCATGAAATATTTTGATTTTTTTTCTGATCAATTAAAAATATAAAACCATTCTTGGCTCACGGGCCATACAGGGAGGATTTGGTCCAGGGACCACAGCTTGCCAACTTCTGCTCTAGAGATACAGTGGTGAACAAGACAGGGTCTTTACATCCTGTGGCTCTGTGACTACCACTTCTGGAGACCACCTCTGGCTGTGCTGCCAGCCCTGTGAATGTAAGCCCTGCTTCATCTGGTTGTACATTGGTAGGTTCTGGCCTTCGTTTCCTTTGGAACTTCATATAGCCACAATGCCCATACTGTGGGGTCCCAATCATTAATGGCCTCCCTGCCTATGCTAGAAGCTCCTCACAGCCAAAGAGGTCTTAAGCTTTATGGGAAAGGTTTAAGTGTCAGAACAGGGTGAAGAGGAGGCAGTAGAAGAGGAAATCTGTACGTGGGTGGTGGAGAAGGCTATAATGCAAAAACAAGTGCGTAACTATTTCTCCCAGCAGTTCATTGCACCATTATCTGTATGTGTTGGGTAAGTGGGTGGTGGGAGTTGACAGAGAATGAGAGAGAGCACTGAGCTATGGGGACTCTATACACCGCAATATACCACACTGCCCCCATCCTTCAAGTCCCTTTCCAGAATCTAGCTAAGATCCCTCTCCAGGGAACGCTGTCCAAAGAAAACTGCCACCTTATGTATCTAATGAAGTCTGGTAGGGGCCGCATTACTGTTGAGTTCAATCATGATAGCTGAAGGGTACATGTGGCTCAGTCCGACTCTTGATTTCAGCTCAGGTCGTGATCTCAGGGTTGTGGGATCGGGTCCCATATCAGGCTCCCCACTCAGCACAGAGTCTGCTTGTCTCTGTCCCTCTGCTCTGCCCCCACTTGTGTGTGTGCATGCTCTCTCTCTCTCTCTCAAATAAATACATACATAAAATCTTTTTTAAAAATCATAATCAGTTGAGAGCCCTATTGGTGCTCACAGATACAGAGGCTCTACAGAGGTTCTCTAGCATCAGCCAGAGGCCTACGGTACACACCCAAATATGCCCCTTCCTAAAAGAACGCCAGGTCTAGAGGACCACATGAAGAGAACCTAGAAGGGTCTTCAGAGCACTGTGGAAGGCAATAAGGATCATACAAACTCAAAAAGGCTCACGGCTGCATTTCTAGCTCCTGCTAGGGCTCTTGCAGCTCACCAGCTTCAATCAGAAAGTCCTTAGAATCATGAAAATATAGACGAAGGGAACTGGATATGACCTTAAACGTATCCAGGTCAACCCCTTCATTTGATAAATGGAGAAACTGAGCCACGGGAATGGCTAAGTGGCTTGCCCAAGATCACGAAGTTTAGAGTGTCAGTGACCAGGTCCTGCTTTCACTAAATTACAATACCTCTGAAAAACAAACAGGGTTCTAGAGGGGAGGGGGGGTGGGAGGATGGGTTAGCCTGGTGGTGGGTATTGAGGAGGGCACATTCTGCATGGAGCACTGGGTGTTATGCACAAACAATGAATCATGGAACACTTCATCTAAAACTAATGATGTAATGTATGGGGATTAACATAAGAATAAAAAAAAATAAAAAAAATAATGTAGTAGAAATAAAAGGTATGAATAAGAAATGGGGAAAAAAAAATTACAATACCTCAACTCTACTTATTCTGAGAGAAAACATAAAAAGACAAGGAACAAACAAAAAAAGCTAACAATCATGAAGCACCTATTGTGTTAGACAATCTTCAGAACCACCCTCCCAGGTAGGTACTAGTATTATCCCCTTCTAGGGCTGAGGAAACGAAGGCTTACAGAAGTGAGATTTGCTCAGGTCCCAGAGCCAGCAACAGGAGCACTGGACTCAGAACACGGGCAGTCTGATTCCCAAACCTGCACCCTTGCTGCCTATCATGCTCTGAACTCTACAGCTCCATCCTACCTGGTGACTCCAGCTGTGGGGAGAGGGCCGATAACGTCATCCCCAGCATGTTCATACACACCCCTCCCTCCAGCTGGCTCAGGAGGCCCCTTACTGCCACACCCCCAGGACTGGGCCCCTGCTATTCCACAGCACAAAAGCCCACCACCCCTCTCTGCTCTCGCTGCAACTGGCTGCTAGATAGGAGAGTCCCCTATCCCGGCTTTGGGAGAAACAATGGGACGAGTCTTTTCCCTCCCCCCAACAGAGGCAGGCCCGAACCCACCTGAGGCAAGGCTGTCTCCAAGGAGGGTGCTAAGGATCACCAGTGGAAGGAACACTCCATGTCCCGCGGAGGCCACGGCCAACGCTGCGGTGCTCTTTGGTGCTATCCTGCCATGGCACATCTTTTATCTGTCCAAGTTATTTTAAAAAGAAAAAATTTAAAAGCCAGAAGTAAGAATTCTAAAGTCAGCCACGGGTAGATTTACCTATAAAAAAAAAAACAGGACAACAAAAAAACAAAGACATAAGTGAAAACTTCAGCCATAAGTTTGTTGCAAGTAGGCACTTTGGTAAGGAAGCTATAATCACATACAAAGTTGAAAGAATTCTAGTAAATGAATTCCTGCTGCCAAGAAAGGACAGGCACGTAAGTGGCTTTTCAACGTGTATCTGGGGAAATGCCGAGGCCTGCAGCAAGCTGCCATCAGCATCCACATCCAGGAGCCAGATCCTTGTGACAGGGCAAGGAGACAAGCGCAGGCTCACCTGGAGATCTGTCAGGCACCACAGAGCTTTCAGAAGTTGCCCGGGCTCTGCCCCACCACCTCCAAGCCTCCAACAGAGAGCAGGAGAGAGGCAGCTGTTGACAGAGAGCTACACCCCTGAGTCAGGCTTTGCCTTGGCCACTTGGACTCAGAGCGAGTTCAACCAACCGAAAGGAAAAAAAAAATAGGGAACATGTGTCTTAAAGGGAGAAATACACCGCCTAGAGAAGGAATGCAGCAGCGGGAGCCAAGGGCCCATGGCTAGGCTTGCTCAACTGCCAGAGGCAGGATGAGCCCCTGAGGATGCGACGCTGACTGCACAGCCACGAACCTCAAAAACGGACCAATTAATCCAGGCTCACCTGACACACCTGTGACCCCAGAGGCCACACCTGTTGACGGTACCTGACACCGACTAGGGGGAGGACGGACTGTAATTGTTAACTGCCCCCGCCCCCCGCCTCTAGTTCAGACTATGACTTCAGACGACTAGGAATCAGAGTCCACGGCCATCCCACCCTGAACACGCCCAATCTCATCTGATCTAGGAACCAGAGTCTTAAAAAAAAAAAAAAAAAAATCAGGGGTCAAGACTTTTAGGGATTATTTTCTACATGCCTTCAGAGAAGTTGAAGATACATTTTGATATAGGCCTATTAAATTTTAGTTAACTCATCTGATTTCATTGATCCTTGTTTATAACAGGTATTCCAAATAAGATTACAGTCCCTTTTTAAATTCCATACACACACCTCCTTCTCCATAAATAAGGCTTTATGTAAATAGATAAGGGAGCCTGCCATCGAGAACGCTAATAAAGGGTGCCCCTGCGATTCTGCCAGAGATATTAACCAGCCCTGCCTTCCATCTGTGTCTGAAGCCTTGACTCAGGCCTGCATCCCCTGCTAAAGAGAGTGACTGCAAACAGCAACATGAGTTGTCTCAGTATGAAGGAAAAGCAGCTATGAAGGTCTTCAATGAGCATGAGCCAGGGGTTCAAGAACAGAGCTAACCTTACTCACTACCCCAAAGAGCTGTGACTATAGCAGTCTTCTGTCCACAGCTTTTACCCAGGCTCCAACTTGAGCCTTTAAAGCTCTAGAAAAGGGATGGTTCCTGAAAAGGTCTGGGGGTAGATTCTGTAAGTGACCCAAAACAGTACACAAAACTGTGTGTGTGTAAATATGTGGAATGTGTATACATTTATGTGGTTAAGAACAGTCGAGTTAGAATGCCGAAATTCAAATCTGTTTCCTCTATTATGACCATGTGACCAAATAATTCTCTTAGCCTCAGCTTCCTCATCTGTAAAATGGGAACAATAACCATACATCTTCATAGGTTTGATGTAAAGATCAGGATCAGACAAAACACTTGGCAGTGCCTGGCACTTTGCAAGTCCTCAGTAAACACGGCCTGCTATTGCTGTTGTAATTATTAATAAGGCCTGAGCTTAATAAGACCTTAGAGGTCATCAGGCTTCACCTCCTCCAACAGATGCCAAAACCAAGGTCAGAAGAGGTTAAAGAATATGCCCAGTTAGGAACAGGCCCTTTGGTGCTGCCATTTTGGATTCATTCACAGCAGGTAGCTCTACCAGATAGTCATCATCCCCTCAAGGCAACAACCAGTGGATCATTGAGAATAACACCTGGTTGTGCCACATCACAGCACGTGCACAACAAATATTTCTGCAGTGAGTGGATGAGGCTGGATCAGAGTGGTGCTTAGATGTTCTGTGCACAAGTGAAGGTCATCAGGAAAGACTACCCAGAGGAGATGATGCTGACTGCTAGTGCGTATGTTTAGTGAAAAAGAAGGAAAAAAAGAAGGTACCAAATACAAGTGGAACAGAACAATGGGAGCACAGCGCTCTTGGCAGAAGCAGAGTTAAGGGCTAAGCTAAGGAATTTAAACTTTACAGTGAAAACTATGTAGAGCTTACAGGATTATAAACAAAGAAGTTACGAGACCAAATTCATTTAGGAAGATCACTCTGGCAAGGATTTTGGAGGCGGGGCAGGGGGGCACCAAGTGGTAAAGATCTTAAATTTAGTATTTTATAATTAATGTGGAGCTCTTTCGAGGGCAATTTGACAACATCTGTCCCCAAAATGCACACATTCTCTAACCTATCAGTTCTGCTTTGAGAACCTGTCCTCAAAAATCACATGAGCAATGATACAGACGTAAGATATTCACTGCATCCTTTGTACTGGACAAAGATTGAAGTGAGACAAGTTAAACAAGTCGTCATACACACATGTAATGGAATACTGTGCACTGGTTTGAAGAGAACAAGGCAGGTCAGTCTGTACTCATATATGGAACGACTTCCAAAATTAGCACGTGAAGAAAACCATTTGTGAGTACACATGTATTTTTAAAGGGGATACACATACACACACCTGTATGCCCGGAAAATCTCTCTGGAAGGATGCACAAGAAATCAGTAGCTAAAGATGGCCTTCAGGGAGGAGAAGTGAGTGATTAACAGGAAAAGAACTCATTTTTCACTGTATGTATTCCCCTTTAATCTCCTTAAGCCTTGTATCTTGTGCATGTATTACCTATTCAAATAGATAAAATTAAGGTAGCAAGGTTTTCTTACAGACCGCCTGTCTCCTCCCTCAACAAACTGACTGACATTCAAATAAACCTGATTGCTCCTCCTGCCCGGAATACAGTCACTTTCAGGGCTCAGCATAAGGGTCACCTCCTGGAGGAATTCTTTTCTGACACTTCACACCAGGCCCACCTCCAGTAGGACTAACCCCCTTCTAACTCCCAAAGTGTCCTGAGCACCCTGCCATGACTATACCTCTAACAGGTTAATACATCTCTCTGTTTATCTGTCTCACCTCACCAGACTCAATGTAAAGTCAGGGACTGTGAATTACTTAACAGAAAAGACAGGGAACAAATGCTTGCCAAACTCATGAATACTGTGGGGAGGAGCCAATATAGTATTAGGAAGAAAATGCATACATACGACCTCCTGTTTAGTTTTAAAGAAACACCTGACTCCTCCCTTACTGCTTAAGCTGCTACCTGGGCCAAAGGACCAATTCCACCATGAAGCCTAAGAACTGATCAAGTGCAGAACAAATAGGGGTAATGACAATGGGAGCTCTGCAAAGAAAAAAGATGAACAGAGGGTAGTCAATGGAGTGTTTACATGCAAGGCTAGGCCAAGAGTTAGTGCTTCAGAAGTAATAGAGATAAGGGAAGCCCTACAACCCCAGGGTATTGCTCAGAATGGGAGAACCCAGCTACTGTGGAGAAAGGGTCACTATATACATCTCATCATTTTAAGAAGGGATCTGCTTTGAACACAGAATTAAAAAAATAAAATAAAACCTGTCCTTGAATTGTGACTTTAGACCAAGTGAAAAGAAAAACACTTCAGAACAAATTAACTAGATATTCATTACCCCTAGAGAAACACACAAAAACTTGAAGAGAAGGAGAAGACAGAGGAGGAGGAGGAGAAGGAGAAGAAGAATCCATTTCACTTGAGTATTCCTTTGGTACCTTTCTTCCCCAGACAGAAAGTAGATGCTGGTTGTTAGAGGCTGAGAGAAAGGAATACGGGGTTCATGCTTAATGAGAACAGAGTTTCGGTTTTGCCAGATGAAGAGTTCTGGAAATGGATGGATCGTGGTGATGGTTGTACAACAATGTGAATGCACTTAATGTCACTGAACTGCACTGTTAAAACTGGTTAAGATGACCAATTTCATTTTACGTGTATTTTACCACAAAAAATTTTGGGAAAAAATTGTGATTAAAGAGGAGCCTGGAACTAAGCCTCATGTTCAAAGCTGGCAATCATCCACCCTCACAAGGCATGTAACATTTAAAGTTAGAGGTAAGACGAGAGGAACCAGGGCTGCAAGTCAGTCCCCTCTCTGCTACCAAACAACTGGCTGGTCATGAAGGCTCCCTGGCTTCCATTTCCACATCTAAAAAAAGGCTCAAAGGTCTCTCTCAGCTAGAGAATTCACCACAACATCCAAGCTTCTCTGCGTAACACACCTCTTCCCCTCTAAAATATGGGGTCAGGAGGAGTCGTGGAAAATCTGCATTCATCCTTCTGATATTCTTTCTTGGGACTGGTGCTGCTGCCCCAATAGTATGTGGTAAAAAGAGACCCCACGAGCTAGAATGTCAAGCCCTCAAGGTCAGCGTCTGGTCTCTCCCACCTCTGTGAACTCAGAACATTAAAAGCTAGATGACTGTGCTCTGCTGAACATCATGAACACTCATTTCCTTTCAGAATAATCCTCTATGAGGATCCATGGCTCTGATTATGCGGAAGCCACTTACCTCACCTCTGCCTCTATAACCTTATCTATAAAATGGGGCTGTTGCTTGCTTTAACTATCTCCCTACTCTCTAGTGAGGCTCAAAAGGGACAAAATACAAAGGACAACTCTGTAAACTGGCAAGACTCGGGTCCTTCTATCTACAGTCTTGGCCTAGGAGCCAAGGGCTATCTGAGAAACTGCCCATAAAAAATGATGATGAAAACATGACAGGCTTCTGGAGTAAAGGGTAACCTGTAACACGAGCCCAAAGTCAACATGGTTTGCTTGCTTACTGTTGCCAGAGATGCTTCCAGGTTAACCAAAGAGCCTGAAA